GAGTGGCACCACCTGTGCCTCACCTGGTCCTCCGGCCAGGGCCGGTACCGCTTCTACGTGGACAGGCGGCTGCTGGCCGCCGGCTCCGGCTTCCAGCAGGGCTATGAAATTCCCGCTGGGGGCTCGCTGGTGCTGGGCTGGGAGCAGAACGGCCCCAGCAGGGACTTCGGCAATTTTGTGGGTCACCTGTCTGGCTTCGCTCTCTGGAGACGGGCTCTCCTGCCCGGGGAGGTGGCCAGAATGGCAACCGGGCGGGGGCTGCCCCGCGGCCCTCTCCTCACGCTGGGCGATGCCTCCCTGCGGGGCGGGGTGCACAGGGTGGCGTGTCCCTGCCTCCAGCACTGCCCGTGACGAGCCTGGCAGCAGGAATGGTGCCGGCTCCCAGCGGTCAGGGCTGCTGATGCCGAGGTGGATCCTCCTGGGGTGATGGGACACCCGGCAGAGAGAACATCCCAGGAGCGGGACCACCGGAGGCGGGGCAAAGAGAAAGGGGCCTTGGCTACCCGTATGGCACAGGTGGGACCAAAGCCGGAGGTCGTCTGCTCCCAGAGGATGTACAGCCCATCCTTCCTATTAAAGTGTTCGGACAGTGGAGAAACCTCACTTATTTCTGCCCTGCTCTTCACTGTAGCACTCGGTGCCACTCGGAGCCCGGCAGGAGCCGGAGCCCAGGCTGGGTCACGCGCGGGTGACCCGGCTCGTCCCCTGCCCCTGAGTCAGAGCAGGGGAAGCGGAGCACGGGATGGGCCCGTGGCCGGGCTGAGCCGGCGGGGCCGGAGCCGCTGCCGCCGCTCCCGAGCGCTGAGCCTGCCCGCGGGGCTCCTTGGCCGGGCAGGGCTCTGGCCAGCCCATGCTGCTCCGGGGGTGCTCGGGCGAAGCACGCACGCTGCCAAACAGCCCCCCTGCGGAACTCTGTGTCCGGAGGGCTGCAGCAGCCCCGGCTGCAGGCGCACCTGGAGCCCCGTGTTCCCGGGGGCGGCGGGGTGGCTGGGTGTGCTGGGGCAAAGCCTCGGGGCGGCCCCGCTACCGAGGCGCCCAGCCTGGCCCGTCTCGCCTCATCCCGTCCCGATCCATCCCGCTGCCCCCTTCCCGGAGGGAGCGCCGGGCGGAGGGGGCGGGGGGACTACAACTCCCATGGTGCCCCGGGGCGCCCCCGGCCGGCGCGGCGGTCACGTGGCGGCGGCGGTCACATGAGCGGGCGGCGGGGCGGGGCAGGGCCGGGGCCGGTGCGGGAGTCGCCGCCGCCGCCCTGCATGGCCAACGTCGCCAAGAAGGTGTCCTGGTCCGGCCGCGACCGCGACGACGACGAGGACGGGCGTGCGGGAGAGACCACCCCGCTGCTCAACGGCACCGGCCCCGGGGCGGCGGGCGGCGCCCGGCAGGTGGGTACCGCCACCGGGAGCGGGGGTGGCGGGTCTGTGCCGTCCCGCGCGGGGAGTGGGGCAGCGGGTCGGGGTCGTGTCCGCGCCCCGCTCCGCTCCGTCCTCGGTGGGGTTTAGCCGTGTTCGTCGCCCCGGGGCTGGGTGGGCGTGTCGGGGCTCGGCCGCCCGAGCAGCCCCGGGGGCAGTGGAGGCTCCCCCAGGGGGGAAAAGCAGAGCCTGGCGGGGAGGGAGCCACGGCCGGGGCGCTCGGGGCACTCGCGGGAGAAAAACTGAGCGCAGCACCGAGTCAGGGGCGAGCAGGGCCCGTCACGGGGTGCCCGCGCACGGCGGGGCTGGGCCGGGACCCCCCTGGCTCTGTAGGGCCGGCTCTGCCCCCTCCTCTGCCGGGGGGTGGTCCCTGACAGCAGAGCCCTGCTTCTGCCCGCTGGGGCTGCTCTCGTCATTCACGGAATCACAGCTTGGACTGGGCTGGAAGGGACCTTAAAGATCATCTCGTTCTACCCCCTGCCATGGGCAGGAACACCTTCCACCAGCCCAGGTTCCTCCAAGCCCTGTCCAACCTGGCCTTGGACACTTCCAGGGATCCAGGGGCAGCCACAGCTTCTCTGGGCGACCTGTGCCAGGGCCTGCCCACCCTCACAGGGAAGAATTTCTCCCCAGTATGCAATCTAAATCTCTCATCTTTTACTTTAAAGACATTCTCCCTTGTCCTATCTCTATCTGACCACGTAAAATTCATCTCTACTAAATTTATTTCTGCCAGAAGCATCGTTCTGTGAGAGCCCCTTGCCTGACGTGCTGCTGCCCAGATCAACAGGTTGAGCTCAATACCCAAGAGCATCTGACACTGGTGTGGAGGGCATCGTGCAGGATTTGTGGGGCTACACGAGCAAAAAGCAAGTCCAGAGTGGGCCTGGGCTTTCAGGCAAATTAATTTTGGGTAATTAAGCGAGGAGAACTTCTCTCTTGTGTACCCACTCGGGCCTCCTGCCTGGCAGTCTCCCCTCCACGCGCCATCAGTGGAGAACAGCGAGGCACTTGGCACGTGCTGCAGAGCAAAGCTGAGGCTGGGCCTGCTGGGCTGGGCTGTGATGTGGGTGGGATGTCAGGCTGGGTCCAGGGAGCACTTCTGTGTCCACACTAGGTGCGAGGAGAACTGTCTCGGGGTGATGTCCTTGGATTTTCCATGAGGTTTTCTGGGAGACTTGAGCTGAGATAGGGAGGAGCAGTGCCAGCTTTTGGCAGCTGTTGGCAGGGATGTCTCATGCAGCACGATTCCGTGCTGCCCTGCTCCTGGGCAAGTCAGAACAGCCAGCTAATTAGAGGGAAATTTAGGGCTCGTTAGGCTGGAAGAGCCTTGTGGAGAGCTGTGGGAGTGGGGAATGGAGTCTAGAAGGAGACACCTGTGCCATGGCAGCTGTTCTGGGGAGAAAATAAAAGTAATCCTCCTGGGCAGCACAACAGGACCCCGTGTATTCACAGCATGTGTGGAATCCTGCTGGTCTGCAGGGTGTTAGAACAGGGATTAACCAGATCCCGTGGCTGTGGGTCAGTTAGGAAAAAGTTTTCCTGTCGGCTTGGAAGAAATGCCTCGGCCCTTCTGCAGCAGGGGCAGCTGGAGGTGGAGACTCAGCCTGGACAATGTGATTTATCATCACTGTGTCCCTTCACAGCACGGGCAGCTCAGGTCCCAGCTGGTGACAAGGCGCTGCTTGGCATTTTCCTTGGCAGAGGAGGGGAGTGAATCCCTGGCCAGAGCTCTGCCTGGCAGTGGCAGTGGCAGTGGCACTGGCCTGGCTGGGTTGTCACCATAGCACTGGGGGTTGCATTTCAGTGCAGAGCAGCTGCTTCTCCCTTTGCCCCAGGTGCTGTGGAGTCAGGAATTGAAGCGGGAGGGCAGGACAGCCTTGGCAGAGGAACAAAGAGAGGCTGGAGCTGCTTAGCTCAGGGGAGATGAAAACTTGGGTTGTGGTAATACAATAAAATGTCCCCAGTGGAGCTTCTTCCCTTTCTCATGCGCTTGTTTAATGAAAATGAAAGTGATGTTAAGGCAGCCAAAGGAAACACGGGGCTGCAGCTCCCCAGCTGAACAGCTGAGAGAGACCTGCTTGAGGGCAGGAGGTGAGGAGGGGGTGGATAAACACACTTGTGACCGTGGAGGGGATGCTACAGGGCTGTTCTTGAGGTCTTCTCTGGTTTTGGGGCCAGTTGAGCGCTGTTTCAGACCTGACTAAGCCTTCATCCTCTCACCAGGACTTTCCAGTCCCTTGAGCACCTCAAGAACTGAGAGTACTGCCTGTACATCTGAGCATCACCTCCTGCTGTGGGCTGTCCTTTACCTGTGTTCTCAAGCCATTTGTGTCAGTTTTTAGGCTGGAAAGTGGATGGCCAGTTTTAGTAAGAGCAGCCAATTTCTGTCCTTAGGCCTTTTTTGACAAAGAACTCTTCTTCTTCATTACCATCAAAGACATTTGTGCTGAAATGCCTTGACATTGGGGTTGGTACAATGCTCCTGCTCCAGAGGGTGCCTGGAACAGGCTGCTGCTGCCGAGCAGCTCGTCCCTCTTAACCCTTGTGTGTTTATTCTGCATCTCTGGGTGTTGTTGGTCTTGTTACTCTCAAGTAACAGGATGGAAAATGCAGCCTTAGTGGCTGGGCTGCAATCAAAAAAAAACTCGGTGGGAGGAAGGGGAAAAATGAGAATTCTGGTGGGTGAGCCCTGATTCCTGGCAGATGGGCTGCAGATACAAGGTACCAGCAGAGAGGCTGCTTGTCCCTGCTTTTGGGAGCTTGGAGGTGACCTCCCTGGAGAGCCACTGCCTTCAGGTGGTAGCAGGAGCTTCTCCAAGCAGAGAAGTTTTAGGAAATGTTCTGCTGGGCGCTCACACGGTCAGGGACTGTGGCAGCACTTTTTCCTTGTGCTGCTCCTCTGCAGAGGGGACACGTGGGACAAGGTGCCTGGAGGAAGGCCAGGGCAATAATGGCATCTCCCAGCCTTGTGCAGTGAGGGTCAAGGAGCAGCTGTGCCCTGGAGTGGCAGTCTGGAACCAAAATTGTAGCTAAGTGGTGACACCTCGAGGAGAGTGGTGACACTTTCTCCCCATTATGAGCCTGGAGGTGAGCCCCTCTCCCCTGTTATGAGCCTGTTCTCTCCTGCTGTGGAGCGTTCTGGGGATGATGCTGAGTTGTTTTGGAGCCTGTCTCAGCTGTGGTTTGTGTCAGAGGAGGGGGATTTCAAAAGCCTTTCAGCTCATCTCCCCCATTCGCTGCCATAACCAGTGAGGGGATTTCCTGTGACAGGGACCTGATGACAGCCTGGAGCTGTCTTTGCACCCAAGCTGGTATCAGGGGCTTCTTGGCTTGGCCCTGGGGGCTGGAAATCCTCTTCCTTCCCTCCCACAGCTTCTTTAATACAGCTGTGGGCTCCTGCTGTGGTCTGTGCTGTGCTTTATCTCATCAGTAATGGAGAGTCACGTGCGTGCAGTTCGTTACTGAGCACGGGATGGTGATAAGGGGCAGTGTGGGGGGGTCTCCTCATGCTGGGCCCCTGGGGGTGGGGTATGTCCTGCAGTGAACAGCTAGCGTGACAAAGGGAAAAGGGACCTCAGATAGTCTCTAGCCTAGCCCCTTCTAAGAGCAGATCCCTTAGACCAGGTCATTCAGGGCCATATCCAGTGGAGATTTGGGTATCTACTTTGCCCCCTCTTTGGCCCCATGTTCAGGGTGTCACCACCCACAGGGTGAACGTTTGGCTCTAATAACTGAGGCAGAAGTTCTTTTACTGCAGCTTATCCACTGTTTCTTTTCCTATGGCTCAGTCCTCTCTGTAACCTCTTGTTGGGTGTCTGGAGTTGGCAAAGCTGCTTTCTGGCCGCTGGGGCTCGTCCACCCCAGGTGCAGGGCTTTGTATTTGAACTTTGGGGGCTTCCTTGCAGCCTGGTGAGGTCCCTCTGAGGAGCAGCCCTGCCTGCCAGCGTTCCTACTGCCCCACTAACACATGTTAAGCAGCTTTGGTTCAGTTCAAGGCTCCAGGCACCTTTTCGCAGAGCTCAAAGTGGGTAAGGAATTAACTTTACCACCCAAAAGGGGCAAGTGCTATCTCATGTGCTGCTGTTGGAGTCAGGCTCAGCTGATCCCAGGGCCTCTCCTGGGACAGGAGAGCTGTTAACCCATCCATGTTTTCTGGCTTTTGGCAGCAGTGCATTTTGTTGTGTGGAGATATCTCTGTGTGCCGTGGTCACGCCAACATCACACGTACCCAGGATCAGCAGCTGCCTTGGCCCGAGTTTGAAAACATCCCAAGGAGGGCATTGCTTGGTGAATCTTTGAGCTCTGCACAAATAACCTTCTGTCTTGGCTCCTGGCTGCCTGAATCCTTCCTTTTCCTCTTACCAGAACTGAGTGCTGATGGAAGTAGCCTTTTCCTGCCCTCCTGGCATGTGATTCGTGTGGCGGGTGAGACAAGAGCCAGCCCTCTGCTCGCAGGAGCCAGAGGGGTGCCAGGGCTTGGGGGGTGGGGCATGTTAAAAATACACTGCTTGTCTAACAAAGCTCAGCTGCAGGTTCAGCTGCTGCTCCTTTCCTTTCATCTGGGTCATGCTGGTGCTTGACCCACTGGGACTTGAGCTGCTGTGCCCTGGCTGCTCGCTCCACAGGGAAGTGGGGGATGTGGCGTGGTGTCACTGATTCACCCACATTTGGTCTTTCCATGGAACTTTGTAGCTTAACAGAAGGAGAATTTTCCCTGAAGGGCTGGTCCTGTCTGAGGTCTGAGCCCAGGCCTGAGGAGGGGACATGGTGTGAGTGACCTTTTCCATCTCATTGCCTCGATCTTGCCCTGGGCACGTGGCATCTCACAGGAGCCCTAAATCTTTGTGCTTCCTGAAGCCAGGTCAAGGTGGGTTTGTTTGCAAGGTCTCAGCTTTGTCCCTCCCAGGCTTCAGGTTCAGGCCCAGGCCTTCATGGAAGGACCATGTCCTTCCCCTCTCCTCGGGATGGCGAGGGCCTGGCTGGAACCTCTGCCTGCCACCAGAACAGCTGGGCACTGAAACAGGCAGTTCCTGCCTCCAGCTCATGAGTCTGCTCAAGTTCCCGTCCGGGGAGGTGACAGCTTTGTGTGTGCCCAGCTTGCAGGAGTCCACAGTGGTCTGCTATGACAGCCAGGAAAAGGGTCCACCTGGATCCTTTCCACAGGGATTGTGGAGCCATCACAGACCAGAACCAAAGCACAGGCTGATCTTACCAAACCAGTGCCTGAAAACAGCTCCATGGAGCACTTTGGGCTCGGGCTGCTGGGACTAAAGGGCACCAAAGAGGGTTTGAGAAGCTGGACCAGAACCCATCTGCAGGTCAGGGAGTGAATGAGAATGTGGAGCAGACGGAGAAATGGGAAAATAGGTCAGGCTGCAAACACAAAGGGATATTCTTTGTCTGCAGTGACGTGCATGGCTCCCAACTGCTCTGGCCTGCACGTTCCAGACGGGATCGGTGGGGATTAAAGCAGCGGGGGCTCGGTTTGGGACCTGCCAGCAGGGAGGGACCAACATGCCAGGGCCCCGCTGTCGCTTGCCATTCTTGCAGGTCCTTTAACCTGGCAGCTGGGGAGGTGTGAGGCTCTGGAGGGGAACATCTTAGTGCTGTGGAATGGTGTTTGGGCTGTGCTCAGTGACGGTGCTGCTCATACCCCTGTGCATCCCTGTGTTTCACAGCGAGCAGGGATGGCAGCTGCCTGCTCCCTCCAGGTGCCCTCCTGGCACTGCCCAGCTGGAGGCTGGCTCAGCTGCAGCCTGAGCCCCTGCCTGTCTTGACCAGGAGACAGAGTTGCCTCATATAGTCCAAAAACTCCTGTGTTATGCAACTGCACTGCCAGTAAGAAACCCGAATTCTCACCAGCGAAAGGAGAACCTGCTCCTCAGAGAGAGATGCAAATAATCCTCTTTCCACTATCACACTGGGGCTGGCTCAGGGGAGGCACTGATGCCCCCGAGGCTGTGCCCACTTCCTCTGGTGGCTGGCAGCCTGCGTGGCTGTCACTCCACTCCCAGCTGCTCCAAGGGTGACAAACACACTCATCTGCCTGGCTGAGAACCGCTGCTGTGGAGCAGATGGCAGAGCCAGATGTGCCCTCAGCCATCCCTCACTGCTGGCTGGGCTTGTGGCTGTGAGGTGGTGCTTTGTCCAGGGGCTCTGTCCCTCCCCAGCCCCAGGGCAGCGTGGAACGTGTGGCTGGGCACTGCGCTCTGTGGCTGGAGGCTTGTGCTGGCCAGCCCTGAATAAGCTGCTCCTGGCTGGCATCTTCCCCAGGTGAGCTGGCTCTGCCAGCTGACAGGTTGGAGCAGCTCTCCCAAATCCCAGCAGGCTGCTGCTGGCTCTGGTTCCCTCGGGGATGGTGGGTCCCATCTCCTCGGCGTGTGCTGCGTTTTGGGGGGCTCTTGATGCTGGGCAGACAGGCAGAGCTCAGTGTGGGAGGTAGAGCAGGAGCATCTTGCATGGCTGCTCCTTCCTCCTGCTGAGACTTGCAGTTCATTCAGGAATTGACCTCATTTTCCCTTCTGTCCTCAGCTCACTCCTTCCTCCTTCCTGCGCATCGGGCAGCTGAGCAATGTGGACCTCAACGAGGACATCCATGAGCTGGTGAGTGGCACAGGGAGGGTCTGCTCCTACTGAGACACCTTCCCTTCTTCCACTGACAGCTGCTGTCATTCCCCCCTCACATCCTGCTTGTTCCATGAAGACTCCAGTGCTTCTTCCTGGGCTGGGCGACCTTCATGGCATGGGCAGCTGCTGCTGCCCCGGGGGCCCCTCTGGCATCCCCAGTAAATGCTTTTATTTGGAGCTGGGAACAGCTTGCACGGTCAAAGGTGTTTGGGAAAGAGAATTTGATTTCTGCCCAAAAAACGTGGATATGCTTGAAATAGCTCCTTGCCTTTGGCCAAAGGAATTTCCTGCCAAGGTGAAAGGTTGCCCTCCCCCTGAGCATGGAGCTGCTCAGAGGCAGTGCTGGGTCAACATGGCTGGGCAAACCCTCCACCTGCTCCTGGGGAGACATCCTGCCTGGGGCTGGAGAGGTGCTGGGTGAGGGTGCACACCTGACAGATGGTCCAGCTGCGTTTAACTGGTGGGAAATCATCCCAGATCCCGGCCTGCCAGCCAGCTTGCACCTACAGTCCTCCCTGAGCGTAAAAACAAGTTAAACCAGCAGTTGCACAGCACAGGGGAGGGTTGGACGCAGACCTCACCGTCCTAACGTGTGGATCACATCCCGCAGCAGACAGAGCTCCCTCGGCAGCGTCCCAATGAGATCCCCCACAACGAGAAGCTCCTGTCGCTCAAGTACGAGGTGAGTGCCCATCTCCCCCGTCTCTGCTCTGCCCTCTGGGATGCAGCAAGTGAGGTATGAGGGGCAAGGGCTCATGGCTGCCCACTTAGCAGGGTTTCAGTGCGGGAGGAGTGGAATTGAGGGAGGAAAATGATACAGGGGTGTGGAGGAGTAGTGTGAGGGGTTGAGGGCAGCGCTCCCCAGCATGGGGGTCTCCTCCCCTGCACTGGATGGTAACAGCATCTCCCTTTTCTGAACTAGAGCTTGGACTATGACAACAGTGAAAACCAGCTATTCCTGGAGGAGGAGAGGAGGATAAACCATGCGGTGAGTCTTGCTGTGACCCAGCTGCCTGCTCTTCCCAACCCATGGAAGCTGCTTCTCCGTGCCAGGGGAGGCTGTGCTGAAAGCAGTGTGTGAGCTGGGATGGTTTTATAGACACTGACCAACTTTTGATGAGCCATAAAATCTCAGGAGCAAGAACCCACCATGGGGTAGTTGGAACAGGAGCTAATCTGGGTCCATATGGTGTCATGGGGCAGGTCCCTGAGCCTAGGGACTTCTGGAGTCATGTGAAGCATCTGCCCTGAGGGCAGCAAGAATCCCCACAGGAGTGGCCTAACAGAGGCAGGCAAGCTGGAAAAGCACCTTAGGGATGCCACAGAGGGCCAAGGGCAGTGGCTTAAAATAAGTGATTTGGGTCAGCCAGCTTCAGTGCTCCCTGGCTCTCCTCTGAGCTGCCCAGCCTTGGGGCTGTGTTGGGGTGGGTTGGGGTCCCCTGAAAGCTGACAGGGGCTGGGCTGGATGGTAGCAGGGTGTGACTGCTGTCTGCCCCTCAGGCGTTCCGGACAGTGGAGATCAAGCGCTGGGTGATCTGCGCCATGATCGGGATCCTCACCGGCCTCGTCGCCTGCTTCATCGACATCGTGGTGGAGAACCTGGCTGGCCTCAAGTACAGGGTGGTGAAGGACAGTATCCTCATGAAGCAGTGGCCACCAGCTAGCTGGGAGCTGCAGGATCTCTGCTCCTGGAAGCTGTGAGAGGGGTGCTGGGAGGGAAGAGGGCAGCGCTTCCCCGACTGGGCTTGGTGGCACAGACCCTGCTGCCCGAGGTGCTGCTGGGCTGAGCTGTGGCTGGGCACTGCCCAAGCAGAGGAGGCTCCTCCCTAAGTGCACAGGGGCCCTGAGCAGCCTCCTCTAGGGAGTGACATCCCTTCCTATGGCAGGGGATTGGATCTAGATGATCTTTAAGGTCCCTTGCAACCCAAACCGTTCTGTTGTGGGAGGGATGGTACCCAAGTATTGCTGGTCTTTCCTTGAGCTGCTGCCCCAGACATTGACAAGTTCACAGCCAAGGGGGGTCTGTCTTTCTCCCTGTTGCTCTGGGCCACCCTGAATGCCAGTGTGGTGATGGTGGGCTCCGTGATCGTTGCTTTCATAGAGGTAAGAGTTTGGAACTGCTCTGGGTTCTTTGAATGGGTGAAGCAGGATCGTGTCTCCAGAAAACGTGCAAATTTATGTAACAGCAAATGTGTTTCTGCCAGATTGGCTCCTGGTAGCCCCATCTCCTCGCTGTTGGCTCCAGCTGTGCTGTGGAGTTTCCCTGGGGCTGTCAGACTGCTGGGATGTGCTGCCCTTTCCTGGCAGCCTGGGGCAGAGGGTGTGCTCCAGCCTTGGGTGTGGGTACAGCCAATCCTTGGCCCTGGCTCAGCCTCTCCTTGTTGGATGTACATGAACCTTGATAGAGATCAGTCTGCCTGGGTGCCTCAGGGTCACACTCTGGAGGGCAAGATGGAGGCTGTGATTCCCTATGGAACACTCTAATCCATAGTGTCTTCCTTGTGGTTTTGCCCTTGTTCTCCCTGGCCACCAAGTATGAACCTTCTGCAGCACCAGGCCTCTTGCCATGACACAATGGGGGAACACAGGACTGTCCCCAAGAACCCAACCAGTTCCTTCTCCCTGGCACATTTTCCCTTAGGAAGTGGGTTTCTCCCTCAAACCTACCTCCAGAGCCTGCAGATAAGCTTTGGCCTCATCTCAGAGCCCCCCCCCGAGGGTGTGCTGAGTGCACCCTGTGCTGAGAGACGGAGTGAGGTGGCCAATGTGTCCCCATCCTGTGTGTGACAACCACTCATGCTCTCCCTGCTCCCTGCAGCCCGTGGCAGCTGGCAGTGGCATTCCCCAGATCAAGTGCTATCTCAACGGGGTGAAGATTCCACACGTTGTCCGCCTCAAGGTAGGAAGCAGGAGGTGGTGGGATGGCCTGGGCGTGTTGTGTCCTCATGGGGTGGTCCCTGCCCACGCTGTGGCTGAGGAGGAGCTGGCAGGAGCTCCCAGCTCTGTGACTGTCCCCCCCAGTGCCAAGGGTTAAACCTCCTGCCCTGGGATCAGCAGCTGGCACTGGGAAGAGCAGCTCTGAGTAATTTTTTTGCTCTGACCAAGACGAAAATTTACCAATCTCATTGCCACAACAGGGGGCTGAGAATCACAAGTTCCCCCAGGTCACAGGCTCCTGCCCCAGGGCTGGCTGGGTCTGTGTCCCCCGTGGCTGCTGGGGTTATGTTCCTTGTGCCACCCCTGTGATGAGCTGTGCCTGTCTCTGTTTTGCAGACCCTGGTGATCAAAGTCTGCGGGGTCATCCTCTCGGTGGTCGGCGGCCTGGCCGTTGGGAAGGTGATGTGCACAAAGCGCTCTCTGGCACTGCTGCCATGGTGGTACCCACTGCTGGCACGTGTGTCACAGCCTGTCCCTGTGCTGGACACAGGGCATGGGGGGCCCTGTAATAATTCCCAGTGTATTCCCTGGTGTCTGCTGGCCAGGGTGACCGGTGTGGCCAGGCTTGGGAAGGCCTTGGGGCTGTGTGTGGCACAGCTGAGGGTTGGAGAGCAGCAGCCTGTGTCCATTGGTGGTTATCCCTGCAAATGTTAGATGGGGCAGACTTGGGTGCTTCATCAGGACTTTTCTGGCTTGCTGGGATCTAAGGCAGACAAAGGAAATGTATCTCCTCAGCTCACAAGAGGTGGCCACGGGAGCCATTTGCTAGAATAAGGATTTCATAGAATCATGGAATGGTTTGGGTTGGAAGGGACCTTACAGCTCATCTCGTTCCACCTCCCTGCCGTAGGCAGTGACACCTGCCACTAGACCAGGTTGCTCAGAGTCCTGCCCAACCTGGCCTTGGACACTTCCAGGGCTGGGAAGGGGGAAAATGTAATTTCCCCGAAGGAAATCTTCCCATCCAGCTTCAGGACTGCTAGCTGGTAAGCAACATCCAACCATCCCTGTTCTTCCTTCTCCACTTTGAATCTGCCCTCTGGCCCACAGGAAGGACCCATGATTCACTCTGGAGCTGTGATTGCTGCTGGGATCTCCCAGGGAAGATCCACGTCTCTAAAGCGAGACTTCAAGGTTGGTTTTGGGGTCCGAGGGGCTGTGCTGCAGGTGCCCCTCCTGTGCCAGACCACACAGTTCCTTGGGGTCATCCTGGGGGCTTGGGATCATACAGGGCATACCCTGTGTCTCCCCTGAACTCATCCCTGTGCCCAGCCCTAAACCTGCCTTTGCTTTGGTGTTTCAGATCTTCGAGTACTTCCGCAGAGACACGGAAAAGAGGGACTTTGTCTCAGCTGGAGCTGCTGCTGGTGTCTCAGCTGCCTTTGGTGCCCCTGTGGGTGTGTATCTTGGCTCCCTGGCACTGAGCAGTGCCTGGACATGGATTTCCTCAGGACGTTGCTCCCACTTGCTTGGAGATAGCTGCCAGGATCTGCACAGGGCACTGCAGGAGCCCTTGTGTGAAGTGTCTGACCCTGCTCCAAGTTTTCCTGCCGTGCCATGCAGGTCTTGGGAAGAGAGAAGGGGATCTTGGATCCCAAATGTTGCCTCCCTGGGATGGAGGAAGGCAGTGGGGGGCTTCACTGCAATCAGTACATCTCTGATGGCTTGGTGGGCTTGCCTGAGCCTTTGCTGGAGCCTGGGAGGTCTGGGTGGTGTGGGACACATGGGATGGGGTGAATTTGGGTGCCTTGGCTGGTGCTCTGAGCCAAGGGTGGTGTGTGCCCCTTGTGAAGGTGTTGTGTCCTTGACTTGCAGGAGGTGTCCTGTTCAGCTTGGAGGAAGGAGCTTCCTTCTGGAACCAGTTCCTGACTTGGAGAATTGTAAGTGCTGGGAGGCAATGGAAGACTGCTGGCTCTGGGGTGAGGTGTTGCCTTTTCCCAGTGCCCTGCAGCCCCAGGCCTCCTCACATCCCTGCCCCAGCAAGGCAGCCGTGTGCCACACATGCCAGGGAACAGCATCCCAGCTCCCCTTCTGTGTCCTGGTCCTCAGGGGCTGAATTTGGACCTGCCTGAGCTCCATCTTGCTGCCAGCTCCTTTCCAAGGGAGCTGCCTTGGGCTGTGCCCCAAGGGCAACAGAGAGGCAAAAGGAGTGAACCCCTGGTCAGCTGCCCAAAGTGCTGCCATAGGGAGTGTGGCCTCTTGTCCCCACCACGCCGTGGGCACCGAGCCCTACCCAAGGGCCTTGGGGGGTGGTTTGGGGGGCACGTGGTGAGGGAGCGGGGCTGGGGGCATCTGGCAGTGACTCTGGGCTGCGTCTCCCTCCAGTTCTTTGCCTCCATGATCTCCACGTTCACCCTGAACTCTGTCCTGAGCGTTTACCACGGCAATGCCTGGGATCTCTCCAGCCCTGGGCTCATCAACTTCGGCAGGTTTGATAGCGAGGTACGGCACGGGTGTTCTCCATGTAGGGCCGTGGGGGTGTCCAGGGAGACTTTGGGGCAGCTCTGGAAGCCCTTTGCTGGCACAGACTTGTGCTGTCCCAGCAGTTGGAAGCCCCACTGGGCTGTGGGGCTGCAGATGGGCCAGGAGATCTGAAACCCACTTCTTTCTTGTTTGCAGAAAATGGGATACACAATCCAGGAAATTCCTATCTTCATCTTTATGGGAGTGGTTGGTAAGACAGAGCTGCTGTTTCAATTTGATTAGTCTGAAAAATTTCCTCTGTTTTCTGTCTGGGTCTAAAAAGCTTTGGCATCCAGTTTCCTGGGGAGAATGGGGAATCCATTAAATTTTGGAGT